TTACATTGCTTTAAGCACCATTCTTACAGTCTCTTCATACATGTAAAGCTCCCCCTGCCTCAACAGCAGCTTGTTGGAGAACAGAGCGTATAAAGGCATCTTCAAAAGCGCGTGAACTATAGCAGACCTACTGAAAAGCAGCTGGTGAGGTCTGAGTAGAGAAGCGCAACCAACAATGCTGCTTATTTTGTGGGGGTGATACCTTAATAAAGACTACTTGAATCCCTCATGAGAGCCCACAGCACAGCAGTTTTTATGCAGAAGTCTAAAACACAGGGAGATGGCATGGAGCTGTCCTTTGGAATTTCAGACAGGCACACACACTCGTTATCTGAAAGAAGATTTAGTTTGAGCACCAACTCTTAAGAAAAGTACTGGCCTATGGCTGAAGTGTGTCACTTTCCACAGCAGCACTCAACAAGAACTGGGACAATTAAATAGCAAGTTTTCATGGGGACCTTGTTGCTGCTTTAGATTCTTATAAATGTAAGGGGAAAAAGGAGAACCCTTTAATACAAAGATTGACAACTAAAATGCTTTCTATAAGAATGCTGCATGGAAAATCAAGGGTGGGCAGACAATCTTAAAAGTGAAGAAGGCCACAAGAACAAGTGCAATTTTTTTTTTTTGGTAAAAAAAAAAAAAAGAAAGAAAGAAAAGGAAAGAAAGGAAAATGAACAACTTTTGAGCTCTAAAGAACCTGATCGTAACATTATTATTGTCCTTTCTCTGGGCAATACAGACTTAACTATGTATACCTTTAATTATGTAACAAGAGTCTTCCTGTTGGAAATTGCCTTTGTTTTTATATGTATTTCACAAAATGTAGTACAAAGAGACAGTCTAACATTAATTCCCTTAGTTTTGTTTTTTTTCCTCCAGTGTTTTGTGTACAACTGAAAAGCCTTCCTAGATAATTAAGATAGTGTCTAAAATCACTGAGAATTACAGTATACTGATTTTAAAGGTTCTAAGGATACTTTTTCAGGTACTGATGCTTAGCTCTATAAAAAAAAAGATAAAACAGTATTTTAACCCATATTTTACTAAGTTTATTACACACAGTAATATTTACAAGAGTTAAAATTTAACTGTAAAGTTTCTATTGTGGTTTTGTACTTCTATTTTTTAAATAACTATGCCCTGTATTAGATAGCCCTACAACAAGTATAGGTCATTAACTGAAAATCTCTGACTGCATTAGGAAACAGGCAGTACTCTTGTGTTACAACAAAACAGTTTTATTTGTGATCAGTGTTTTATAGTCTATACATCCTTCACAAATTTAATTTTACATAATCGATACTTCATTTAAAACGTAAAATTTAAGCTTCTAGTTCTTCCCTATAACAGAAGGCTGGTATAAGTTATTTGAAAATGAGGTAACATTTCACAGAACATTTTTTCAAGTTTTAGAGAACTAAATTTGCATTTTGTTAAAATCAAAAAGTAGGAAAAGATGTTTCTTTACAAATGACTTTGCTCAAGTATGTGTTCAAAGAAAACAGGATAAAAAGGCTTTTTTTCTTCTAACATTCTGTACTGTACTGTGTTGTTCAATCAATAGGATTTAGCTTCTGCCATTTGCTAAAAGAATGAGTAGTGGGGAACAGGATATGTTGGGAATTTCATAACTGGTAACAGAACCATTCTCTTGGGTAAACCTACAGAGAGAAGAAAGGGAGAGGACTCCAAATAAGTTCAGTGATCCAAGAAAGTCAAATAAAAGCTTACAGTAGTGTTCTCATTAACCTTTTCCAGATGAGTCAATCAATGTAATTTTAGGGTTCAGAGTCCCATAAACAAAAACACTTCAACACTTTGTAATATTTCAAACAGATGGTTAGCTTAACTTTTGTTTTTATTTTTGTCCTGGTGTTTGGTAAAATTAAAGTGAGCAGTATTTTCAAAAGCAGTGTATTTTGTTGGAGAGAGATTGGATTTGAATATCTATATCACAATCTTTAAGATAATTAATCTCCACTACTTTGTTCCATATACTAAGTTAATTTCATAGGTCAGTCACAATTGCAAATAATGTAGACAGACACTGCTGTGCATACAAGATAATTCATAGGGAAGTTGTGCAGCAATTTTGATAAACATCCAGGTAGATCAGCCAAAAAAACCCCAAAGACCTACAGCAAATTCTGTATCTGCTTTGTTATTCTCTGTTTGCTCTACTGTATTGAAGTGGCAAATCTGGAAAGATTAATATCTGCCTGAGTTCATGATTATTACAGAGTTCTTGTGGCCTCACAAACTTTTGCACACTTAAATACTTTTTTTTTTAATGTTTCCTATTTAAATTCTAATATTTAAGCTATGTATCCATTTAGAAATCACAAAGCAGCAACAGCAGGTATTCCAGAGCACCAGATGATCAAAGTGAAGTTTCCCAACATGCAACAGCTTACAAAGGCAAAGAGACATGTTTACCTTACAGCCAAAAAGCATTATCCCAGTACTTCGCATCACAATCATAAGACAGTAAAAACAGAAACTCTTTATGTGAAAAATGGGGGCAGTCAATTTCACAATGCTTTGAAGTCAGTGATATGTCACACGTACACAGTTAAGTGATTAAAATCCAGCCCCCAAAATAGACATCATGAGAAAAAAAAAAAAAGGCACACACAGAAAATAAGGGAATGAATGAATAAAGAAAAAAAAAATACTGCCACTAATATATTGCAGGAAAGTTGATAATAATTGTACCCTTGTCTTCAGCAGGGGAGGAATTTGTCTTATGTCACTACGTGTCTCTGCTTGTAAAAGATTCCTGTATGCAGATGTCACTCATCTTGGGGTTAGAATCAATGTCTATTGCTTGAAAACAGCCATAGGGATTTTTTTTTTAAAAAACCCATGCCATAAAATAAGCCCTAACCTAAATTTCCTTCCCCCTTGGGAAGGCACAGCTGTTCCTTCTATTTTCAGTAATACCACACAAAAGACAAGGAATATATAGAGTACACTCCATGGGAAAGCCCTGCTGTCAGCTGCTGTTCTGTCAAAGTACTTGGCTAATCAATAGGGCAGGATTTCTAAAACCAGAGAAGTTTGCTTTAATTTTGTAGGGAATTCCTCAGAGCAAGTACATTCCATTGGCCCATTCTTTTCCCCTTTCCACTGCCAAAATACAGAATAGCACCAGCTAGTATTAGTCAAACAAAGTGGGCATTTTCAGTAATAGAGCGGCAGCATGCTTCCACTGTTTATAGCACATACCTCTAAAATAAAAGAAAGTAGTGAAATCCGTTTTTCAAAATATTTTATAATAGCATCAGGGAAGTTAGTATTGCCCAGTCTCTGCAGATTTGAGAGGAACAAGCATTAGGAATGCTACAAAAGCCAAAAAATGAATGCCAATTTGCAAGGTCTGTTCTCCATATAAAAAACTGCAGGCCTTGAAGTGTACTCAATTTGTCATTTCAGTAGCAGGATTTTCTCCCAGTTCCTGTGACAGGACAGAACAGTCGGACTGGTTCTGATAGACGCAGTCCTGGTTTTTGTGTGCCAGAACATATCACTGACTCCAAACCGCTTTGCTCCCATTGCCACATAAACCTCATTCAAAGTAACCAAAAGGGCCGGTTAGAGATAAATATGCTTTGTTAGTCTAGAATTAAAAAAAAAAAAAAGCTGGTGGGTAAGAGAGAAGCTGAAGTAAGAAAAACCCTTCCATCTTAGCACGGCGATTATTAGTTTATTTTACAATCTTCACAAAACCATTACTTTGCCAGCCTAATTTCACCATGTTTCTTAGCAAAAAACTGTGACAAATTATCATATCCTAGCTTTCTTGCAATCTGATTGCTAACAAGCTGCACAAACTCATTCTGCTTGTCCCAAACAGCAATGTCTTAGCCTGCAGTTACATACGTGTGTGTGTGTGTGTGTGTGTGTGTGTGTGTGTGTGTGTGTGTGTGTGTGTGTGTGTTTTATATGTATGCCTAGATCTTTATAGTACTGGACACTTCATATAGTTGACAGCATTAAAGGAACTTTGTCCACAAGCCGTTTAAACTTGTGGACAAACATTTTGCCAATATTCCTGTAATGTCATTTAGCTAAATATTGCTCAGAGATGCTGGAATAGGCCCTTCGGTAGTCTTTGAATGGAGCACAGATTGGCTGTAAAAAGTAAGAGAACTGTTTAAATTCAGTTTCAGTATGAAAGGGAACAGGCAATTAAAACAAACAGTCCTTCCACAGATCAGGCAAAGCATAGGCAAAAAAGCTACTCCAACCAAAAAAGAACCACAAGGTTATGGCATAAAATGTTTTCATTGTCATAGTTTAAGAGCTTTAATTTCTGTAAATTTCTCCTGCAATCCTAAGCAAACTTTTATATTTGGACTGCCACAATAGTTTATACATCAATTTCTAATTTGTTAATTATTGGGGTGTACGTACCGTAAGCTGGTGCAGCTGTACTATACCCATATGGTGCTCCATAGCCTGCAATACAAACAGATGAGGGATGGGTTTCATTTCCTACAGTATCCAAGGACTATCAGTGTTTGCATGCTAACACCCAGGGACTATTTCTGATACGTGAAGCAGGAACATAGGAAAAAAAATCTCACATCGCAGCATCTAAATACTATTGAAAATACTAAAATCCTTCTGCAGAGTGGCCTGAAAAACAAGCTACCCATTGCCGTTCTTAAGCCTCAGCAAAGAGTAAATTTCCATATTTCATTTCCTTAGCGTTTTCTCTTTAGTTGAAGCCCTCCAGTCTAAATTGTCAGAGCTAGGAGCTAGCAAGACTCAGTTAGAAGTCCAATATTTGCTTACGTTCTTTCTAAAATGGTTTAACGTAGACAACAATCATTTTTCTCAACTTGCGTTATGCAGAAGGGTTGTTAGAAACCTGTGACAGATATTCACATCATCATCAGTAAGGCTTGTGTGACTTTTATAGTCTCTGCCATTTCTACAGCCAAAAGAAAATTTCACAAAAGACATCTGAACACCCAGAGGCAAACAGGCAACAGGCAAACCACTAGACATGGCTGTGGAGTAAGACAAAAAGGAACAGTGTGGGTAACACCAGTCTTGGTTACTGTATCTTGGTAGTTCATTAAAGCATTACAGTTTTTTTTTTCCCCTCCTGGTGGGATCCCTTTTGTCCACTGCAAAAAGACTTCTGACAAGGATAGGGGATGAAGAGAAATAACCTGTGAAGGCCAAGACTGATAAAGCTTAACAACTACAATGACTGGGAAATTAAACCTATTTCTGGAATAATTCCATGCTGGCAAGGAGCATGCCCCTGGCAGGTTAAAGTGTCTCATAAATGATTCCTTAAGGAGAAAGACAGTTCCAAAAACAATGTTAACGGTCCATTAAAAATGAATTACTGGTTTTTAATATTTATAATTACATCAACATACAGGAACAATGAAGACATCATGCTGTTGACTGTGCCAGGAGGCAAGTCTACCAAACAGGGCTGCACTATTAGCACGTGTGAATTGCTGAAGAGTATAATTAGAGCTTAGGCTGTAACCTGAAAACCCAAGCATGAAGAATATGAATTTTATTTTTTAGAAACTATTGAATTTGTTTTGACTGAGGAATCTCCAGCATTTCTCATTCTTAAAAATTTGTGATCCTTATTCAAAGTAAAAACAATGTCTAGTCTCCCTCCACATGACACCTGCAAACATCAGACACCTTGAAATTTTAGAGTCAAAGAGAATAATAGACCTTGAAAAATGAGTGAGGAAGTGAAAACTTGATTAAAGTTTTCTTGTGTTTAGATTGTAATACCTTACCCTCTAGCTGCCTTTCATATCTGCTTGCAACCTGCTGGGTAAAAATAACTTTTTTTTTTTTTTTTTAAATTAGCTATGCACAGTGTGCCACGAAGCACTAAATATATAAATCCGGCCACTAAAAGCTGAGCACTTCAACTCTTTGAGCAGAAATAGTTTTGCTTCTGATGGTTGCAAATCTGCCCTGAGGAATCAGCAACAAGGTATCCTGATCAGCAGCTTACCTGCTCTGTACAGCAAGTATGAAGCATAAATTAGAACCATAAGGTTCTTGGATTTCAAAAGATGCTTCTGATAATCAGAACAATGCAGCAGAGATGAAGAATTAACACCAGCCAGATTTAAGTTTTTTGGCCACTGCAGCAGCTGCTAATAGATCCTCTGCTCACATCCCCAATTCATGTGCAAAGTTTCGGGGAGCACAGTGACTCCTGAACCTGCCAACTTAATCCCCATAGCTCCAGAACATATTGAAACAGCACAGCAAAGGGTTCTTGGGAAAGCCACTCCTAATGCGAAGGGGGACATCACCCAGGCGGTGCTTTAGCTAGGAAGGGAACTGATCGTGCCAGGGCAATGAACTATGAAAAAGACAGGTAAGAGAACTGTAAAGCCAGGAAAGCCATTATGGGCTAACTCTATTCATGCTCTGTGCACAAGGAGGTTCAGGTTGCACGCCTGGAAAGGACAGGTACTGCCAGTTTTTCAGGTTTTGTTTAAAGCCCCATGAATTCTCTCTTCTGTTTCACCTCAGATATTTAAAGCTGAAGAGATCACTTGCACAGATGAGTGACACATGCAGCAGAACTTACCAGCAGACAATTAAAGCACTAGCTCTTCGTGCCATGCCTTACCTGGTGTTATGTAGCCAGTAGCAGCAGCTGCCCCAACAAACGCGCCTCGTGTTAGAGCACCTCGTCCTCTGCCTCGAGCAGCCTGGACTGCTGCAGAAACGGCTGTATTGACAGCCCCTTTAGTCTGCTCAGAGTAATAAAAATAATAGCAATTCAGAACATGAAAGTGTTCCTGGAAATACAAGTCCATACATTTTAAACTACCATCTTTCTTAATTCTCTTTAAACATGCTTAATGTGCAGGTCTTGTTAAAGGCAGAATGCAGAAGTACTATCCTAAAGCATTTCTGACGGACAGAAGCCAAGCAAGTCCCTCCAGTAAACAGGAGTCCTCCCCATTCACTGACTGCATTTCCTAGACAGTGTACACTGCATCCAGGTGCCTTTCCACTTCCTTACAGGCTGCCTCACCCCCTCATCCACAACATTGCCTTTCCTTCTCTCCTACCACTCTGAACCAGTATAACTTGAGCAGGGCCAAGATTTCACCCAAACGTCTTACTGTAGGCCAGAAAGCCATGCACTTTTACAACTAGATCAGATTTTTCAGAAAGATAACAGACTTGATACAGTAGTCTTTGAAATCCAAAACTGCACACCTGCCAGGACACCAGGTTTTCTGAGGAGGGAAATATTCAGGGTCTCTATGCTTTGTTGGCAGCAGGTGTCAAACACACTGCATATTCTAGCTTTACGTTTTTAGTTTTCAATAAAACATGTTTGCCAGATTATTGGTGGGTTTTATATAGGAATTAAAGTTTTGAAGTGTTTTCATCTGGGCTGATATGTTTAGTATCAGCTTTATACCCGATAGATTTCCTTTGCCTTCAGAAAGAGACTTTTTATAATGGGGAGGGGGCTGTAGTTTTACTTTTTCTTTTTTTGGCCCTTTTCCAGGTTACAAGGCTTCTTAGGCTTACTAAATTGCAAGTTTTGAAGATTATGGACGTCCTAACCAGTTTTTAAAACGATGGTGTTCTCACCAGTGCTACTGAAGTCCCAGTCTGTTCACTCCTGAGCAGATTTCTGCTTCCTCTTTTTCCTACTTTAATAACTGTTCCTTAAGTACCTTTAGCTTCCATCTGCTTAGCTTATTAAGTACCTTCATTTTGGCTTTTTTTTTTTTCCTTCAATATACTGCAGTTATAACAACAACCTCGTGATAACATTGGACTGCTTTAACCTAACTTTTTCTAGAACAGTACCTTCCTTTCACTTTGTCACCACCTACAAGCAACAGAACTCAGAGCACGGCAAAGAGCTATAGAAGCTGGTATTGCTTACTACATCAGAGCAAACCTTTTCTGTATAACGTGCCCCCCGACTGCCCCCTGAAAACACAGTAAATCATGCAAATCCAGATTTTTCAAAGGCAAATTTGTCTGTTTTTATCATCACTGACCTACTGCACAAAGGGAACAAGTGAACAAAACAAAACCAAAAAAAAAAAATCCCCCCAAACCAGAATTTTATTAAGTGCCTGAATCAGAAGCCATTTTCATATCTAAACTGCCTATGGAATGTTATCCCATGAGGTACTATCTTTTGCAGCTACTAGACTTCCAACACAATAATAGAAACTGAAGTATTGCTAACTGACTGACTTAGTGAATCAGGGATAACGATAGTTACAGAACAAAAACAAAAACACAGCTGGCTGCTCATTTTTGTGAGTGTATTTTATGATACATTCTGTTTCAGTATGAAAAGATGAGAAAATCCTAATTCTAATTTATTCACACAAAAGAGATCCAAACTGTAATCCTCAGGGCTTATTTCTGACTGTAGTTCTCTGGAGGAGGAACACTTGATTAGTTTCTGCTCTGCTCAGCGTCTCTCTCTTCATAGACTTGAGCGATATCAGGGCTGTTAAATCTAATGAAGAGTGAGCTTTTTATTATACAAGTCTTCCTCACGAAATAAAATACCTCATTTGAAGAGTTTGGTGCAAAATCTAAATTTACTCTAGAACCTAGAGTTAATGCCTATTACTAGGCTATAAATGATTTATTCTCTAAATCTTACCTATTTTACATGATTAGGAACACACTATGTAGGGCTCTGGACTGGAACACAAGAGATTTCCACTCCATCACTGATTGAACCACTGACCTGAGTGTATATTCTCCAGCAGATCACCACCTTCTTTCCTTCGTGCCTCCTCTTCTACCCTTACTACATGTCCTCTAGGTCAAACCCTTTACTCCATAAAGGAGCACTTCCTTTATGTTCTTAGTACATGCACAGCAGGGTCTCAACTATAATCTTATACTGTTATACTAACAAGTATCACTACAGAGGAATAAAAACAGAAACCTTACAGTGTGTGCATAAGACAAGAGACTCAAATCACTTGCTTTCCTCTAGAAGGTCCTTTATGATAAAACAGCCCAGAGCTGTGCTAACGCAGGGTTGTTCTAAGTCCAAAAAACAACAGTTCTTACCTGAGGAAGAATCTTCTTTTTCTTGTTGTTTGCTGCGTTAGGCCCGGAAAAAAGTTTCTCAAGTGCTGCTAATGCAGCACTTGCTTTTGCTACTTTCTTATTTGGGCCTGCACCTCTGAATTTCTGCCCATCTACTTCCACCTGAAAATTAAGACATAAGTTTATTTCTACCATTTATCCTATTGGGAATACCATGCTGCACTTACTGGTCAGTGATGAGCCATCCATAAAGAACTTCAGTAGTAAGAATACTCAGTGTTATACGTGGATTTTATTGCTTCAAGATTACGAAGCTGGTAGAGAATACCTAAGTGATCGTATGTAACGCTAAGTAAGAGGTAATAGGAATCTATATGTGTTTGAAACCACACATGCAATTAAGAGAGGAATGCTACATTTACTTGGAGTTGAATTTAGCCAGTGTGTATAGGCTTCTCAAAAAATAAATACTACTACTGCAAAATAAGGGATTCAGAAATCATTTGAGGCCTCCTCATCTTTATCAGCGCCTCATACACTAAACGTCTTTGATCACTTGCGCTATACACGCACTGTTTAAGTGGAGTGCTACCTCATACTGCTTTTGTAACCCATGAGTGTTACATGGGTTACATGAGAAAAAAAAAAAAAGCATATTCTCTGCTACAGTCATTCCAAATATCCCTGGTAAGCTAGCAATGGAAGGTTCAGATCAGGTCACTGACATGGAGTTAACAAGGAAGTCTGAAAAATTTTCTAATCAGTTATTTTGGTCTGTCAGGCTTCCACTTCCCTCCTCCTGCTCACATCAAGACATGATGCGATTTGGGGCTGTCAGAATGCAGTTCTAATGCTCATTTTCCCAAAACATAAAAGGAATTCCTTTCCCCCATCTAATCATCACTGTAGTAATAAGAGATACAAAAAATACTGAGATGATCACCACAGTTGTGTATCACAAAAAGTAAAACACAAAATCTGAACTGTATCAGCCAGTAACTTCAAATACTGAAGCGTTCTTAGTAAAGCACCTACTGACTCACTCCACAACTCTGCTCCACTCACCTCCATCACAAAGCGCTTGTCATGGCTTCCACCTGTCTCAGAGATGAGCTCATACTTCAGACCTCTTCTTTTTTCATTGAGTTCCATCACTGGGTTTTTGCCGCTTGCAGTGAGTATAGGGCCCTGAGTTCTTACCTAAAGAGACATTTATGATGTTGCTTTATAGCCTTTATCTCTTCAAATGGCAGACAAACATCTACAATCTTATGGCTTACAGCGTCCTATGGCCAGCCACTTAGAGAATGCCACCATTATCACTTTGTTTCAAGCCTCTGCAATAGCTTGTTCTTCCCAAGATGTGGGCCTCAACAGGCTTTCCAGGAACAGACCTGTACCAAAGCTAACACTGCCTTGGCTTCTGTATAACATGCTGCACTAGAACAGCAGCTAGAAAGTCTCTTCTCTAAAGAACGGCAGAGGGACAAACAAATATTGTGAAAAACAGAAATCACACCCTCTTCATTTCTGTCCGTAAGTGAGAGCTAGTAAGATGTCAGTGTCTTCATGGCCTGGTGTGGTGTCTACACACGGCTGAACATCACAGGGGCTGCACTTGGAATTCACCTCAAAGGGTATCCAAAGCTGAAACTGATGCCATGGTGTCAAGTTCCTTGAAAGCAAGTGCTTTATCACTAAAAGGAGAAATTGGCATTCCCAACCTCCTACACATCTTTGCTGCTTGATCTAATTACATCCTGGCACTACTGAACTCTAACTGCAGAAGTTTTAAAACAGATGCATCTAGAACTGTTGGGAAGTGAGGAAGGTACAGCTGAGATGCCCATGCGCCAGCATAACAGCCTGCATTACAGCGCAGTGAGCCACTGACATGAAAGACTACTCACTAACAGAGGAAGGAGGAGCCAAAATCAAGTTTTCAGTAGCAACTCCTGATTTCAGATACCTCGTACCAGAACGTGCCATTTGAAAGTAAAGTTCCTCAAGAGTGCAATCGTGGAAACCTGAAATGATCACCTTGAAAAATATCTTTGCCTTCTTAAATTCTTAACCAATGTTGTGAGGTGAGTCTATAAATGCTTATTTTAATACAAAATTAATAAGTCAGTTGGTGAGTATAAAATACCCCCACATACCCTTTCTCGTGGAAATGCCTCAGTGGACTAAATGCATATATGAAGTGAGTTGTCAGGGATTATGTAACTGTCTGGTAATTAGATGGCTTCCAACTAAAGAAATACATGGTTTAACTTATTGAGAAATATCTGAAGAACAGAATGATTACTTAGACGTTCAGCAGAAAACCCCCCTTGTATTTGGAAAAAAAAGCTTTATACCTAAAAATAAAGCAGGGATCTACATCGTTTTTTCTGTACAACCCCATGAGAGTTCGTCACAGGCAGACAAGTTTACAAGTGAGAGCTCTTATTCAGCGCTTACACAGAATGCTTCTCTAAAATCCCGGGTGCTAATTATGAAGATTGGTCGAGGACGTCAGGAAGAGGAAGGTGAAAAGGATGAAATCTCAGCGTTAGGTTAAAACCTCATGGTTTTTCAATTGTGAAAAGAAATAAATACCAGAAACACTGTAAGAAAACATTTAGTTAAAGTACTACAGGCCCTCGCAGCTTGGTTCCTGGGGACATTCAGCCAAGACTGCTCAAGTTACTGGAATTTGGTCCTTTGAGGAATACTCTGTTTCCCACAAATTTAGTGAGAAAACAAACACAGCATGCTCCTTTTGGCAGTTGTAGCTGAACTAAGGTGCTATAATTAAAGCAGATTACATTGAAATCGGAGCACTTTACATGCAACTTTTTCTAGTTCATTCAATATACAGAGAAGTATTAGGTTTTACTTTTCTTAATATCAGCTAATCAATTTCCATATTTTCATTTGTCTTGATGTATATCAGTTTAAAATACTGTCTACATAACCATACCTTTTGACATTGCAAACAGACTCTTTTATAACAAAGAGAAAATGCCAAGTTTACATTACTAGAGCCACCAAAAAAATACCAAGCTCTGCCACTCCTAAGGACCGTATGAAAATAGAAAAAGTAGAAGAGACAGAACCTGTGTCAAAGAACTTACCGTCTTAAGAGAAAGAGACAGCTACTGCATCTTAAAGTTTAGGAAAGGAGGCACAAAGATTAAGTTATTTGCCCACAGTGACACAAAGTCTACGGCAGATCTGAGACTTGAAACTGTGTATCTTAATTCCTCGTCCACTTAGTGCAAACGCCATCTTCTTCCAGAAAAAACACCTCTCCAGCACTTGTACTTTTCAATACAACACTCACCTCTAGGGTAGTGGAGGTGTCAGCTGTGGAATTTCCAGTATTATTGCTTGAAATTGAAGACGTCGTTTCATTTTTGCCTTCAGTATCTGATTTTTCATCAGAACTCATACATTCGACATCTGCATCAAAACCAGTTGGATACCCCATTGCTTGCAAAACCTACAACAAAACATGAAATGAAAAATAGGTAACAGTTTAAAACAAATGCAAAGCTGATCATAACACAAAAGAATGGCCATCTTACACTTAATAAAGGCAAAATACTTGGAATTTCATTTTCTCCAGTGTTGAGAGAGAGAGAGAGAAAAACACAGTAACCTCTAGAGTTTCCAAGGGAACTGCAAATGACAGCCTGGACCCAAAGAGTACGCAAAACATATCCCAGCAAATAAAAGGCTGACAGCATCTCCCTTGCTTGAATCTTTCAGGAACACCAGAGGACAGATCCTTCCAAAGCAGGTATACAGGGAGCAAATTCAGAGAACTGAGATCTGACTGGCACCATGTTGAGGTGTAGAAATGCCTAGCTAACGAAGTAACAAACTGCTTCATCTGCAGTAAGTTTACCTTTCAGTGAAGCATGTCACAACTTCCAGGCTTTCTCCATGATGCTTACAACACCCAGCTTTATAGCAAACAAAACTGTACTCTGATCAAGGCACTACTGAGCGGTTACGTCAAAAACATCTTCAATTAGGAAGCTCGGCCTTTCCTTTAGTCAACTCCCTTACCTAGCTGTAACAGAGGTACCAGAGGGGCCCAGACCGATCTGAAACAAAACTGAGGCTCCCTTGAAAATTTAGTTCCATGAACAAAATTCACAGAAATCACTATGTTCCAACACAAAATTGAGAACCATGCAGGTAATTCCAGGGTCAGCTCACACAGAATTCTGTGGTACTTCTGGCTGCAATTTCAGGGTCTCTAATTTTTAAAAAGGTCAGATCCAGAAACTGGAACAGTCACATTAATCCCTCTTGAAGTGTGAAAAAGCAGGGCCCAGACCTACCAGAAAACAAAAACAGCTAGTCTTTACCACACTGCTGGTTTGTCCTTGGCTTGAAACGCAGATTGGGCAGATGCAGGGACGTTTGAGGACAGGGAAGTTACAGCTTTTCAGGGCAAGTTCTGAATTACTCTTAAATAATTCTGGGGAGGAGGGACACGGACACGGGCACACAAAAAGTATGAGGAAGACTGTCTGGAAGGACACACATGCAGAGATCTACTTTTCCTGAGGAACAGCACATTGCCTCAAATACTTTGGGACACTTTGAACTTGAAAGCACACAGGACGATGGGATTTTCAAAACTGAAATAAAAAAAAAAGTAGAAAGTTGCCAGATGCAGCTTCTAAAAAGGAAATTTTCATTCAAAAAACGAAGCACAGATAATGACAGATGGGCTTGTTCCTCTCACAAGTGCAGTTCTGTTAAATGAAATTCTCTTTTTTGCATGAATTGTCTGTAGAAAACTCCTTCCTTCCTTCCTTCCCCAAAACCCACCAGGCTAGGTCTGTTTCAGCAGTTTGAACTGCCATGATGCAGTACAACAAGAGTGTTCATGTTGAGCATTCCAATTACTACTTTACAGACACAAGCTCTGTCATGTAGAACACCTACAAGAAGCAACCATGGGTTGACTGGTAACTAAATTACACTAGTCTTACTGAAGGATTTGACTGGAAACAAATCATTTATTTACACTAGGTCTCACAATGTGCTACGGTACTTTTCAAACACTGAAGACTAGATACGCTCCCTATTTTGAGAAGCTCATAACCTAGGAGAGGGACAGACACAAGGAAGGAGAAGAGAGAGGGAGCCACCATCATGTTGTTTTCTAATGAACAAGAGGAAGGAATAGAACAGAACAAAACAGGGCCCCCCCACCCCCATCTTAGAACTTAACACCAGTTTCCATCCGTTGTCACAGGAATTGACTTGCAGAGCTCTGGAAAGTTCTCTTCCACATATTTCTACACTCTCCCCCTCCTCTGTTTGTCTAAAACCAGTAATGACCTTTGAACAATGCCCAGCTATGTATTAAATCATCAGTAGTTGGTAGCTCCACTTCATCCAAAACTTTTTTTTTTTTTTGAATTCATATAGTAACCATATTTCATGCCATATATTCCAGGTTAGCAGATTATGCTTCATGCTGCCTTACCTTCACTGCCACATGGAGCTTAGCTGTTTTCTTAGAAGGTCCTGACGCTTCATATGTCGTACCATCAACATCTACAGACATTGTGAAGACTGGGGCGTGGACTGGACCAGACTGTGACAGCAGCTTATACTGAAGCCCTGGTCTGATTTGGTTCAGCCTCATCAGAGCATTCATGAGATCTATTGCTTTACTGTCTAGTACTAGTACAAGATAGGGTGGGGGGAGGGAGGGAGGGAAAAGGAGAAATGAACAAAATGAGATGGACAGAAAAATGAAACAGTTTGCATTTAAGTGCCTTCTCTCTGTATAAAAGAGTGAAACAACCCCTCAGCCTCTCAGAGGTTGAGGATAGTGATAACACTTGAGTATGTTTTTAATAAGCCATTCCGCTTTTGGGTAACAGCTGTTATTACCCATCTTTTGATATTGTTAACACAATCCTTTTGCAACTAGTTATATTCTTCCTGGCTACCAGAAAAGAAATAACAGGTTTTATAGGTTGTGAGGAACCACATACCAAATTGGCACCAAAGTAAACAATGAAAATAGCCACCCGAATTAACTGGATCCCAGGAATACTGAGAAACTTTTAGTCTGTGCATATAAATGTCAATATTTTGTGGATTAAACATTTTCCTTTTCTTGTGGGATGTCTTGAGCTAACAGTGGCTGTCCTAAGGAGGAGAAGAGTACAAAAAGGAAAATCTTCATGCAGCAAAGCCCATGCAATATTTTGACAAAACGCTGCTGGGATGTTATCAGTAAAATACCTCAGCTGTTTGGGCAACCTAAATTTTACTGTGGCCTGCTGGGAAATCTAATTTAAAATGCAAAATCAGTCAGTTAGCAAAACATGTCAGAGGAAATTCAAATGCACAATAAGAGATGTGTTTGATGTTCTGAATGCAGGGTGAGAGAGACAACATTTTTTGTTCCAAAGGCTTTTTCACATGCTGTTCCACAGCAACACAGCAGCTTTCGAAGCAGTTCCTACTGTACAATGGATCTTCGAAAACAGAACGTAGAAGTGTTGCACTTACTTTTTCTCAAATTACGCTTCATCTTTTTGTTTGGATCTTTATCATCCCCAACACCATCTTCAAATGGTCTCTTGAGAGCAGACGAGCCTGTACCTAGGGTACAAATTTTCTTGTAATATGGATATGCTATTAGAAAAACGAAATTCCATAGCAGGTGTTTTGATTAGTCCTTTACTGTTCCTTGCATGTTTATAACTATGAAACGTACTTAATCACCAATCATCTGTATTTAAGATTTTAAACTGCTGTATCTAAGCTAATTCTACTTCCTACTCACAGTACAAGGCCATGCAATATGCCCATGGTTCCAATCTAATATGTGATACAAGCAGTGTAAACTTCGCAATAACGTTGGCCACCCGGTTCACAATGATAGATACAGGTGACTGATCTGAACATCCTCAGAAATAGTTGGAATGCTGGTATCAAGTCAAGGAATTTAAGTAAAACTGTTAGACTCATTTTCATCCTAGCCTCTGAATACCACTTGAAGCAGTGAAAGATCCATGGAAGAAGTAGAATGTTGACTTTGCAGCCAGACTTCTGCAGGCCAAGATTTATTGGAATGAAAGACAGCTTGGCCTCACTAGTAAATACTAGTGTTTGGTTCCTGTTTCCTTAACGTTGTATGTATTGTTATTCTATGTCTAATAAGTACCTGTCCATACAAACATAAGGCTGCTGATTAGTTCAGTGATAGAGGCTAGTGAACAAAACGCTTCACATATCCTTCTCATCCAATCACACTACGCTCTTGACAGGCTAAATTAAATCGAAGTACACAGTCGGCCTGCTGGTCTTTAAGTCTAAGGAAGAGCACTTAGTAATACTCCTGAGCTCAGCATCCATCAGGTGAAAAACATATCCATATCCATCGCCTGCCATAACAGGAATAAAGTCTTTGTAACAGTCAATGTCATTGGATCAATGATTTCTATTAAAATACAGGGCTTAGTTTGCCTCATTACAATCAAACAACAAAACACTTATTTCTGTGACAGTGTTCTGTCACTAGAGACATCACCTCTCAATTCTGAAATGGCTGAACGTGGCTGACTAACAGGATTTATTAATTTAATTAAATCTGGTTTCATCAGACCCTTTCAACCTAGCGTGTGGCTTTCATCACCAATAAAGGAAAGGCATCAGAAAGGCAGAAGAGAAAAGTATTTCTTGTCATGTTTTAGAGAAAATACTTCTGAACTTCAGTGGCTTTATGGCAGGAGAAAAAGTTCTGGCTTCTCTGATTTAACTCAGTCTAGAACATCTCTGATACCTAAATCTCCAAATAGGTGAGACGGACTGAGCTGGAAAAAAGATACTCCAGCAAACTGTTGGAAAAGTGTTTCAAAGTTAAAATCCATCCTTAAATCTGTTGTTTTTGAAGATGCAGGAAAAAAAAAGTCTCCCCCTCAAATTAAATTACTTGACAAAAAGGAAGACAACACCACGACAGCTCAAGGCATTAAACGATGTTTAACATACTAACAGTAAATTAAATATTTGTTCTGTTTCTGCAAATGCCATTTAAAATGAAATTCCCGTATCCTCTTTTATCTTCTCTGGAATTCCTTATTTTCAGTCTACAGCTCAGATTGTGTGATTTATTGTTTTTCAGATTTATTCTACGGTCAGAACTGTAATAGTATTGTTCTTTCACAATATACACATGGAAAGTTATTTCTGTTGCCTTTATATTGTTTTCTAAGAGGAACTCTTTAGATTTTATGATGGACACTCATGTAGTTATATGCTTTTTAACGAGCCTAGTGTCTCTTCTTCCCCAGCATGAGAATCATAAATATTATTTTTATTCTTCAGGCCCCAAAGGACTTTGTACTTAAAGAAATTATCATCTGCTATACTCTAGCAGTTACATTTTTCTTGCTGCTACTCTGTTGGCTCTTCCCTAGAACAGAACTTTTAGATTTTCCCTTAGCAAGGAAAAAATTCAATGAAAACAACAATAAACACAGAAAAGCCTTCACCTTACACACACAGCATGTAACTGAAAGGAATTTCACCAGTTCCAAATTAACTCCTAGTTTACTTCCCAATTAGTGTTTCTTGGCGCAAACAATACCTACCTTCTTTATCAGTTACTGACCAGGAATATTTCTGAAATGACTTATTTGATGGGAGGGGATCCATTTCCAAAACCTTATAGATCTGACCGAAGGCTGATAATCTGAGTGCATGCTATAAAGTGATAGTAGAAATGAGAGTTACATCACAGCACTATTTTATCTCAGGTGTCTAAGTTTCTAAATAAGTTTGTAGACACAAAAGCAGCATTTCTTCTATGAGGAATGATAGCTATAGAAAGTGTTAATTTCCAAAAATTTTAAATTCATTAATTCCTGTAATACAAAGTGCAGGTCCCACTGACAGGAAGCCTACTCAGGGGCCATGTGCCATAAGCACGTGAAGTGGGATGCAAGTGGCGTGCAGACATTAGGCTGCCTTCTGCAAGAATAACATTTCATCCATATTTAACTCTTGTGCACATAAACTTAATCACTTAATCTTTCCAAGGTAGGACACTGGATGAACTGTCAAGACTGCCACTAAAATAAGCCATCCAGGGCAGAGAATAAACTGAGTTAACGAGCTGAAATCTTCATTGTTATAAATTATACCTAGCTCCTCAGAAGTATAGGTTTTCTACCTGAGCACTGTGTGTAATGGCTTCTTTTTGCTGAACTGTCATGTAACACAAAGCGTCTGTTGGCTCTCGTTCACAGGGATCATGCAGACCAGGGCCTCCTGGGAGGGAAAGGGGCAAAAAGATTGTTCAGAATAAACACAAAACAGTATAACTATGAGGACTGCTAGATATTGCAACAACTAATCTCCATCCTCAGAGTGTGAAGAGCTCCTCTTTCAGTAAGATTCAAACATACCAAGCAAACTAACCCTAAAACCTTTTATGGGGATTTTACCCCATAAAAGCGAGGCCACGAAACACATCAGGCTCACCACTGCATGGGTATAACATAGCAGGAACTAAAAGCAGTAGGTTAAAAAAAAAAAAGAGTAGGCATGTTGATTTCAGCAAGCCTACAGAACCTAGCTAGTCATTAGGTCCATTTAATTCTTTGCAACCTCCTAGTGAGATGGGGTTCATTTATAAACAAACCTAGCAGTCCTCATTAACTTCTACTGCATTGGAAGTACATCATTTCAAACAATTATAACCATACAATTTCCTTTCTCTTTTAAACAAGAAGCCATTCATTTAGCTCCAGTGCAGGTTGGAGTGCTTAAGGCAGGCATTTTTCATCTAATCATACATCAGCAAAATGTTAAAACAAATGGAATTGGGCTGCCTGATCAATCTTTTGTAATGCTGAAGTTAATATGGTCCCTTACCAGGAAGCAGAATTCCAGAAGCCAAACACTCCATCACTCGTCGCAATGCTTCCCCAGCACCCAAAGGTCTATTACAAGTACCTATAGATTTTTCACATATAAGCTCGAGTGGCTAGAAGACATTAAAGTACGATTAGTATGGACACACGGCTAACTTAAAACTACAGTTCAATTCAGAATGGTACAGGGGAAGAATATGCACATCAGCTTACTTTAGTTTTAATCCGCTACAGGTCTAACAGATAGAGATAGTCATCCCAGAGGACAGTTCAGGGCGCTTACACTTGTTCCCGGCTCTGTCACCTTTGGAGAAAATCAACTGTTCTCCATTAACTATATAGGAAGTCTACACGGAGAAGCCTTCTGAAGCCAAATTGTGCGAATACTCTCCTATCAAAAGGATGTCAGTTCTACCTGAGGGAAAGTGCTGCCTCCAGTGACGTCCAAATGTTCCTCTCATATGCAGAGCATCTGGCCTCCCCTAAACCTGCTATTGTGAAATGATATGCTCTGGTAGGACCAGCATAGCTATGGGATTTTAAAAATTATCCTGCTACCAATTTGGAGGCAGCGAGTGGGATTCCACTACAAATCCACGAGGATATGCAAGGCCCCACAACATTATGCCTCTTCCCATGGTAGTTGTACGTCTCGGACTGACTGAATGAACATTTACAATCTCTTTCCTTCCTGCAAGCAGTTTTCAAAACAGGCAACAGTTAGTGGGGAGTAGAAGGAAAGGGGGAATTAAAGAGAGCAGTTTCATACAGTGCACTGTTTGCCCCAGTCCAGGCACTGCTGCCATCCTCAGATAATCTGAAACGTCCGACCAAGCTGCCTCCAAATCTTTCTGTACTTACCCATCCTTTGAGAGGTGCCCATGTGGGGACTCTGTTGCACAAATCCCGTAGAATACGAAGGACAATTACACATGATTTTAGTCCATTTGCCCTGGCCTAAAACAAACAAAATGGTTCCAATACACCTGCAAAAACCTAGCTTTCAATTTGCTTTTCTTTTTAAATGCACAGAGTCCATGGATAGATTCTTTTTTATGATTATTACTTAATATTTAATCAGCTTCATGCAAAATAAAGACAGTTAAATAAAGTAAAATACTTCATTTTATAGAAAGACATATAGAAAAGGAAGCAAAATGTCAAGATTGCTTTTGTAGCCTCATGACAACTCTAGACCAGTTGGCTATCTACCTATCAAGTTTTTCCTTGCACAATATAGCACTGAATTCGGAATTCTAGACCTTTGCTCTGTTAGGGACTAATCAGAAATTAAAGAGGCATTAAAATTAAGTGTCTCAAATTAAACCTCATAAGGCTACAATAACAACAAGGTAAGAACAAATAGCCAACCTGAAACCATTTGGCGTGCCGCAGAGACGCCAAGGCCTCCAGGCATTTCTGCCTGTCCAATAAGTCCGGAGGATCTTTCATCGCAACATTATCTACTGGTAAAAATGGGATAAAAAGAGACAGATACAATTTGACCAAGGGGTTTCTGTCACAATACATAAAGAGCGGCAGCATCTCAATGAGATAATAAGACTCCCAGAATTTAAGTGCACTGTGTTATTTAATTTAAACAAGCCATTAAAGGTAGTAAATGTGCACGTGTGCAACAGAAGCAAAGGCACTCAATCCTTGTAAAATAATAGTAATAAAAAAGATGGCCACTGCTACAGACAATCTGGGATCTTATTAAAAATGCAGAACACATTTCAGGGCAGAAAATAGCTATATAGCACTTATTTTTGTTGTTGTTTTTCTCTTCTCTTCCTTCTTTGTGACTTTTATTCCAAGTGCATAAAAATAGCACAGAATTTCAAACTTTTCCAAAAAGGGGAAGATTTTATTGAGAGAGGGGAAAAAATAACAGGGAGAAAGTACTCAGAAGTTATTTCAACGCAATTGCTGACAATTCAAAAGAAAAACTTTGAATATATTTGAAATACTTTTTTCTTGAACAGTATTAACCAATATAAGCAGATTAAAGAAAAATATAGAAAGTGCCAATAAGCAGTTTCAGTTTGATTAATCTTTCATGCAACCAGAACATACGAAAGAAGAAAATAACTTTGGGAACTTCCAGAGTATTAACATATTTGTGGTGTAGTCCCCTACTTGTAAAAATCTGCTCTTCCCCACAAAAACTCAAATTGATGGAAAAAATTCAAAGAAGGATTTGAGAGACAAGACACTGAAGTCTTCTGTTGAGGTTTACACTTTTTTTCTCTTCTTTTTTTCTTTTTCTTTTTTTTTTTTTTTATCCAGCATGCAACAAACTGCTTTTAGCAATCACATCTGATTCTACAGATTCTACTGATTGCTTTTAGCAATCACATCTGATTGAGGGACATTATATAACAGTCCTCTCTTCCTTGATTTTTTCTTTTTTTAAAGAATCATAACAAGTGATTAGTATCCAGATTCTCTGAAAACTATACAAATGACAGATTTTGCATATCTACAGGATCAGTTTTAAAAGATTTTAGTTTTTAGCTGATAAACATACTGAGGAACTAAATGAATCCATGGCTCAAGTAAAAGCTCAAATAAGTTATTTTCCTAAGGATACACAATTACTCCTTATTTCAAAATAAATAATTTGGGAAAACAGTCTTTTCGTTATTCATAACAGACAATTCTATAGGTCTCAAGAGAGATCTATGAAGGTCTTGACTGAAATACAATAGCCAGTCCAAATTGAAGATTATGCCAGACAAGTAAAATCCAGTACCCAGCAAGACACTGAAAATTTGCAGGACAAATAGGGAGAAAAAAGTATGACTATTGTGTAAAAATATACACTTTATTAGTAACATCTCGAAGTACATTTTCATAGATTGCTCTGGATAGTATTGGTTGCAAATGTAATTGCACCTTTAATGTTACAGTTGCTTCACCCCCTATGCCGTTCGATAGGAAGGTTATTCTGGTAAAAGCACATTATGTTATGGTGGATAAAAGAGCCCAGACCAAAAAAAACCAAGTGTAAAATTGAACAGAAAGAGGCATCTTGCCTGATAGTTCATAGCTGCAGTTTGCGTCTGCTGGTTCTGCTGTCAGCAGAGGACTTAAGTGCTATAAGCTAATTTTCTGACCCCAGTGAACTTCACAGCAGATATTTGCATTGTTTCTTATTGCCCTCATAACAGTATTACAGCACTGAGATTAATCATGCCTCTTCCCTATTCTCCAGATAAAAGCTGCAAAGTCTTAAGGTATTGGATTTCTATGAGCACAAAAGGTCACTTTGGAACAGAAGATTGCCTCTGAATTTTCTTTGCAGTTGCATTATTTTCAAGAGTAATATTTTGTGATACAAAATTACTAAACGCACAGCTATTTTAGTAGTTCTGCGAGAAAACTTTTTATTGTGGACAATATAAACATCTGCTTAAAGCTCATGTATTATATAAAACAGCTACTGTCAATGAATGATCAGAATCTTATTTTAAAATGTTAGAAATGGCAGAGGTGACTGATTGCAAAATCATTCATTTTTAGCAAAGAAGCTGAATCTTCAAATCCATGAGGACTTTTACTTAGTATTATACAAGACTCGGCTAAAGTATGTTGCAGCTTTTGAGAAGGTAAACCAATTTTGCCTTTAAATTACAAAATCATAAACAGAATGTGCATCAGCTATTATTCAGGTGAATGAAAAGGCTCTTCTGTTCTCATCGGATTTAATTTTTCATTTTCAACAGGCTAAAATCCTACCTTTGCAGTAGGATTAAGGCTATTTCCAAAGGTCTGAATTACAAATCTCTTGGCAAATTCTGCCAATTGCAAACTCAGTACAAGCGTCCTGAGCACCTTTTGTAGATATTGCAGTCAGTCCAGTTTTGGGTGCAAGATTCTATTAAACAGAAAGATGAAGAGAATAGGCAGTGAAGAGGGTGAGCAGCTTGCAGCAGACTCCCTTTCGGCATCTTCAGTAGAATGGCATGTTTCTTCATGCTCTGCCAGTCAGGAAAGTGAGACCCAATCAAAATTTTCAAAAATGATTGCAAAGCTTTCTTTTTCTTTTTTTTTTTTTCCCCCCCCTTGTGATTTTAGAAAGGGCAATGATACATCAAGGAGTTTTATTTAATAAAAGTTAACAATAAAGCCCTGACATTAGTTTAGACTCTGCAACATAGAACCAATCCTCCGGTAATTCTCTCCCCACTTGCTGTATTTATTCTCTTCATATAGCGGCTGCCAACTTCATTCATATACAGCCAGCCATACGAGGAACGCGTCTTCTCTGTAGAGACACGGTAAATCTGTGGCTTCTTGTTGTTCCTTCAGAGGCACTTGGCACTTTTGGAGCATCACTGACCATCTCTGCCCAGCAAGGGCAGATTGTTTATGCAGTAGCTGCTCAGTTACACAGTGAGGTTAATTTCAGCACCGCTTTTACAACTGAACTTGCTTATTATTACATATGCTTGCTGTTACTGTATGCTCAGTAACAACAACTGATTTGCAAGCTACAACATTCTGGTCTGCAAAGTCCAATTTATACTTGATGTTATGAGTAAAAATCAGTTTCCTAAGAAGTTAAAATTTAAAGCTGATACAGAATGCAGCAATTTTAGATATTTGACCTTTCAACTCAACATGAAAAAGCAGAGCTTTTTGGATAGCCATTTGTGAGAAACACTGAAATGCACACACACACACACACACACTGGTCCACTATTCATTTTTGCTAACAAGCAGCAAAAACAAATAGGACAAACACCACATTTTAAACATGAACACTTTTCCAAAGAGGTGGGGACTGAAGAGAAATCCAGGAATGTTTTTCAATACATTCTGACATCAGGGCATGAAGGTACACACAGCATTCCTACAGAACAAATGGGAGCACTGATAACGAAGTCCGTTGCACCTAACCTTGCTGATTTGGTTAGAGGGCAGATTAGTGCCTAACGGCACCGAACGGCTGGAAACCTTGGTCAGTTTCAGGCAGCCTTTGCGGCCTGGCAGCTGGCGGGCAGCGGGCACCCGCGCGCCGCCCCCCGCCCCGTGCTCTATCTTACAAGTAAGATGAAAAGCAAGCTCAAAAGCATCTCGAGTTCCTTGATTCAAAAGGACGTATAGAATAAACTGAAAACAGTTTTAAAACTGCAGAGAAAATACACTTATATTTCATTGGTGTTTTTCAGCAGTATCAAAAGAACATGGCAGTACTTTCTGCGGAGATCAAGGTATTTTGGCTGGGCAGTTTAACTGAATATTTTCCCTTGATAATAGATACACAACCATTTTGGCCTGAATCTTTAAGGCAAAGTGACTTTAAAAATGGTTGCAAAAATTATTAAAAACAGTAATTTTTCTCCTTAAAATGAGGATTTAATTACTTAGTGGCATATGCATAATATTTCACATACCTTTGAAAAGGAACATGATAAATTTCTTTGTTCACTTACGATGAATCAAAGACATTTAAACTCTGTACAAAAGAATCTGGGCTTCAAAACAAGATCCATTACCCTATCGACTGTCCTCATCAGCTTTACAGAAGAGATGGCCTAACAGCTGCCTAAGAGCACTAGTAAAAACATTTTGAAAAATTAGTACATTTTGAGAAATATTTTAAGACACTGAAAACAACAAACTGAACACATATTTTAAATGTGGGAAAGCATAAAAATCAAATCCTCATTCAGTTTTGACAATGAATTCATGGAGTCCAAGGTTTTATTGCCACAATGGCAATGCTTTTTTTTTTTGTTGCTGTTAACAAGAAAATATTTGGACAGATGCCTTTATGCAAAACAGTATCCCCTTATGGGAATCTTACAGACACTTTCTCATTAAAATTTCTTCCGCACTTTGTGCTCTCTCTCACAAACATGTTATCAGCTGCAGTAAAAACAGGCCTGATCTCAGCATCTTATGGAAAGCTGAAGAACAACTGAAGTAATATGCAATTTATTTTTAATACTCTTGCAAAAGAGCATGATTACTAATTTGAGAATACGCAGACATTGCAATTAGGGAATCTTTGCCATTCATCTGTTTTGTAAGATTTTTCTGCTTCCAACTGCTGCCAAAGTGCTACGTTTCATTTGAAAACAGATCCTTCCTGCCCTTGTCTCAAAACCAAAGGAAGAGAAACTGACCAACATTTCTCATTGTATCGGTGTTTCACGTGGGAGAGGGGAGTAAGCAGAGGACTTGTGGCAAGTCTAGAAATGGGAAGAGAGCAACAGGGAGTTCCCTAGCCCACACGGGCCCAGCTGCCTCAGTTGTCATGACAGAGAGTGGCCAGTTGGTCAAAGGTCTGACATCGTCCGGTGGCAAAGTTTCCAGGGATAGGTTTGGGAAGCGGAAGCAGAAATTACTGACAAGATTTTAAAAATAAAATAAAACATGGCTACATTTGCTCTTCTCTATTCCTCCTTGTTTCCAGCCTCATTGATAGTAAGAATCAACATTTCTTTAAAAGGGGCTTGTCGCTATATTGGATGTCACCACAGTTAGGGAGAAGGAATAGAAAGAAACTAAGTTATAATTTTCTAAATCTATTTTGTACTACGGACATGAAGCAAAATGTTTAATTCAGCAGCAAAAGTGCTGTGTTATAGCACTGTAACTTCAACTGTATCCTGGTTAGGAGATTCTTAAAGCTAGAAACGTACACATACGTATCCATAATTAATAAAAACTGAGGGCCAGAAGGACATACTTGCGAGCTTTGCAGAAGAGTTATTTTGTGTAAAAAGAAAAACAATTTTATGAGTTTGTCAAGATACTACCAACCAATCCCACTTGACTGACTTAAATTTAAAACAAGACTGTGCAGCGCTAGGGTGCTTGAGGATTAACTACTAGGTCTGAAAGAAAGTAGAACTAAGATCTAATTGTATGTCAAAGTTAACATTGTAACAATACTGCATACAAATGAAAATTAAGCACATTTACATGAGGATTAAATGACTGTTGTCTGTTTAAGGCACAACGTAACATATTGTGGAACAGCCAATCTACTTAGCACATGATATACAATTAAAAACCTTCTTCCTAACTAACCCTGTGCTGCACAGTCAGAGCATTTAGATAGAACAGTCTTAAGAAGTTAAAACTCTGGGTACCTCCTTCCTTCTTCTCTGCTTCATCGCGAATGAGAGGAGATGTAAGTATCACCTTCAACATTAGCTTGGGCTCCTTTGTGTTCCGAATAATAATAGCTGCCTCATTTACATGTTCCTCCACAAGATACTTCTCTTCTGTAAGTTTCTGAAAGTCACCAAGAAAGATTTCAAGAACCTCCCACTCATTTGAGAAACTGCATAATCTCTTCAAGTGCAAATGCTTCTTGAACTAATGAGAAGCCTACAAGACATTGCAGTAACAAATATGGCCTGCCTCCTTCGTTAAAAAACAAACAGAAAAACCCCAACACGTTGCTAAAAAAAAGAAAAGCAGCAAAATTTAATGACAATAGCTCCACTAGAACAACACTTTATATCACTTACTTATTTAAAAAAAAAAAAAAAAGACAGACGCTCACTTTCATAGTTGCTTGTGTGTGAAATACTACCAGCAACTTTTGTTCTTAGAAAGTACGTACTTCTCTGGTAATGCTGCCTCTAAATATAAAAGCCCTCATATACAGTATAACAAGCACAGCCATAGGCGGCAGTGCAAACGGATGACAGACTCAGCCCACGGCCCCACGCCAGTACAGGAGCCGCACTGGCTCGCCTAGGCCGTTTACCTGCCCCGAGGCATGACCAGATGCACCTTGGCCGTTCCTTACACTCTGAGCTAGTCTTCAGACTCTCGAGCAACAGCGATGTCACAACTTCTCCAAATAGCCTATTCTAACGCCTAGCCACAGATACAATTTATATAATCCATTTTGCAACAAATTTGCCTCTGCTACAATTTCAATTACTTTTTATCCTAGCCTTGGTAGCCAGGTGGAATACGGATTCACTGTCCCTTTATAAATAATCGTTAATGTTTTTTTGAAACTTACACTTTGTAGTTAGCCTCGACTTTTTCCAAAGATGACAGTTTTAATCTTTCCTCAATGGTTTTCTAGACGCTCGTTCTCAGTATTCTCTTTTGGCTTTTCTCCAACCTGTTCATCTCACTTCACACAGCACTTCAATGTGGATGCAAAGCTCCACTGTCACCAACTTCACTCATTAATACCAGTCCCAGGAGAGACCCTTGGGAAGGTCTGGAAAACCTGATCTTACTCTCTTGACAGAGCACCAATATAAATTGAGTGGTTTTTAAATTGATCTGTTCTCAAGAAACTTTGTTGTTTGGATTTTTTTTTGCCGATAATAGTACAAACTGCCTAATAATTTTTTCTAATAACTTGCACGGTATCAGAGTTATCTCAACTGAACTGTATCTGCAAGGTCTTTAAGCAACACTTGGGGACCTCTCTCAACCTCCAAAAGATCACAGACATAACCACGAGATGCTTCAGAATCCTAAAGGTAGGTAGCTCCTCGTATTTCTGGGTACGTTTCCGCAAGACTATGAATTTAGAACATATCTAACATGTTCTAACTTCTTCTTTCCCTGTTGTGATCTGTGCTCCTCCGACTCCTTTTGTTGCTGGGATGAAATCATTTAAGCATCTGCTCACAACTAGTCTTCAAAGAGGAAGAAAGCACAAGTTGTCAATAACGTATCTGTACAGCATTTGCTGTCCCTCACCACTAATAGGCCTGCACCTTTCTTGTCTCTCTCCTGTATCTGAAATGTCCACAGAACCTCTCCCCTTATTGCCTTTTATGCCCATGATAGTTGTAGCCTATTTCATGAGTTAGGTTCGTCTTACCTGAACAATTCCTATTTGATGTTCAATTTATTTAACAAGATCCTGCCACAGTCGCACTGGTTTTACTATGCTTAGTCTCACTATTACTTGCTTCAGAGAAGTCAAAGCAATGACTTAAATATTATCTTTAAGAAACCTTGAGCTTTTCTAATCCTCTTTTGTCCTAAGAATGCTTCCCTATAGGATCCTACCTACTGTCCACTGAATTTGTTGCAGACTTACAGTCTTTTCATTATGTCTATTCTGCTATGTCTATTTCTTTGAAGCATACATTATCTTTTCTTATCACTTCCAATCCTTCTCATTTCATATCTCACTACAAACAAGTAAATTTTATTCTTTACTACTTGATTCATCACCATCATTTTCAGCTATGGGCAGGGCCACATCTGCAGGCACATTATCTCACTAAAACCAAGGCCCTTTATGCAAACAAATGAACAGCGAGTACAAACAGCTGTCAAGAATGGCAAAACATATACTGTCTGTGTGGAAATACACACAAGGCAGAAAAGGCAGAAAAGCATATCTGGAGTGAAGCAGGTCAAATTATATCGCCTAGTTTGGAGAGAGATACTTGCAGTGGAATATTTTTGGGCACAGTTTCTAGGCAATAGCATGTCACAGTCCAGAAGCTGGACCGCTTATTCAGGCTCAGAACTCTGCCAAAAAGGTATTATCCCTAGCTGCTTTAAAGAGACCAATATTTGCTGTAGGTAGCTACCTAGCGGATGCTAACATTAGAACCAAATACTCACCAAAAAAAAAAAAAAAAAAAATTTATGAGCTCACGATTATCATGAGCTAAAATGAGTGACCACCTAGACTAACTGATCTTACTTCAGAAGCACAGAGACATTTTTCCCAAAAAATGCCTAAGCAAAGCAAAACTGCTGCTATGTAGAACTTCAGGTTCTAGTGAAAAAAGACAAACCAAACCAAACCAAACGAAAAAACAAACTGAAGCACACGTTCATGCTTGATCAGGGATGATTTCGGCTCTGTAATTTATCCGATGTTAGAGGTGAGACCAGAAAACAAAAATCAACTAGGTTAGTTACCAAATAGATAGTTTAGCTGTCAACACTGGAAAACAGGGATTGGGCAACATCAGGAATAAGAGGTTAAATTTTGTGACTAGCTACTTCAACCATAACACATCAAAGACTTCACATACCCTAGATGTCCTAGATTAAAAGGACATTCTTTAATCTGTACCACTTGTATTTTTTCCTGGAATGAGTTAATTTCAGCCTTTATCCAAATACCTTGAAGTGCTAACAGGCACTGTTACAGACTACCCTTAATTAACTCACCTGAATTTGAACTGGGAGATTGTCTTTGACTATATATAACAAGGTCTTTGTGGGCTTTTCTTTGCACATGAGAACCAGTTCCAGATCCATATCATCTTTTATCAGCAAGCCCTTTGCAACCAAGCCAATTCTCATAACACCACACAAGGTCCGACCACCTTGATCCCTGGAAATGAAACAATTCTGAGTAATTAAAGTGGTATTTTTGTGCATTGGAGTTACTTGTATTATCCTATCACAGGGCGGGGCCATATACTGGTGGGGCTGATTACACTGCTAAAGGGGTGCATTGCTAATTAGTAATGAAAAGCACAGGCTCCTCTTAGGCAAGTAGCTCCTATGAAAAAAACAAAATTAACCGTAGCACCGATCTGCAATTCACATGAACGTGAAAGTGGCCTAGCTCAAGTCACAGAGCTCAAAGAACACCCAAATCCACTAGCTGCAGATCTACCAAAAGAGTAAAACAATTAATCTAGGAGGGGCTCCCATACAGAGTTCCCGTTTTCGGAAGTGATTTGAGTCATTTTTATTTGACATTCAGTCTGTAACATGGCCGCACACCTTTTTGATGTTTCTGTTAATTGATCCATATTTTCAAATCTGTATCTTTAAAATTATACAACCAATTTTTGATGTTTTAGCACATACTACACACTTGACATTTCCGGAAAGCTTCTAATTTCAAATAGTCTTCCCGGTGTAATTCTTTCAACAAGTCTCACCACTGAAACCTACAGAAATAAAGGTTCTACTCTCTAGAGAAAGCATAGGGGAATATTTAAGGGTCATAGTAACTTTCAAAACAACATTAAAAACACTTTAGTTTTAAGCACTGAGAGGAAATCTGCAACAAAAAGCAAGTTAGGCTAAGACTGCATAAAAACAGCAAAGAAAGTGCAAAAAACACACAGCTGCTGAGAGTTCAAAACCAGTTATTGCCCCACAATGCATCTCTCGCACTGTGGCACCAACCACTGCCACATCACCGTTACGAAACCCCACAAAGTGCATAAGCAGTAAAGTAGTAAACCACCTCAGCCAGAAAGGCAGCAGCCCTGCTGGCATCATTCTTACCATCCAGAGGGAAGGGAAGTATATGAAAAGTATCAGTCACATTGTGATCCAAGATCATAAAGCAGACCCTCAGTTTTGCTCAAATATATCTTCATTTATTAATGTTAATATATTAACTGGAAAGGCAGGAACAGGCTATGCTTACAGAACAGACAGAAGAAAAGGAAGGACCCAGAGAACCAAACAGCGATCCCAAACCAGTGGCTATCCCTAGAATAGCCAGAGGCAAAAAAACAAACAAAAAAATCTAACAAAACAAAAAAATTTCCCAACTTCCACCCTGGAACCATACTACTTTGCCAGTATCTGGATGCAAACATGGGAAAAAAATGCAGAATTCTTTTAGAAATGGTTTCTAATTAGCATAAATATATTTTACATGGTGGAGCAACATACAGCTGAAGCTCCTTTTAGCTTGTAAAGTGATTAGTAAAATTATCCATCCCAAAACAAACACATAAATGCACAAGCTATTATATAAGTATAAATAAAGGTGCGTGTGTGTGTCTACATACACCTCCTCATATACTTGAAAAATCAAGATTTTTTTTTAAGCATCTGATAAGCTTTGTCAAATCTTGTTTTCAAAGCTTAAACTGACTAACCAGCCACATGCAGTGACAGGACCAGTAAGGGCCTTTCTTTTGCAATGTGGAAGGATTCATATGTTAAAAGAATTTGTACATGGTCTTGAAGATTCAAACTGCAAATAAAGCCTTAACAATGAACAAGCGAGTTATCTGTTTTGGGAAAATGTCAACTTGGAAAGTTTTAGCTTTAAAAATTTAATATTTTACTACTGTCAGCAGTTAACTCTTTCTCACCCATCCTCTTGGTTGGAAGTTACCACATCCATCAGAGGGGTTGCAGAGAAGGCTGAATACAAATACCCATTTCATAAGCCATCTCGATTCCCAGCAAAGCAGATCAGCCTAAACGGCCAAGGCAGGTGGTCCCTGCTAAGATGCCCAGCTGCGAATTGGGGGCAGGCAATGCAAACAAATACCCTGTTTTACCGTCCCACTACAACACAGTGACAGACAAGAACATCTTTGCCAAAGCAAAACGTATCTTTGCTCATCTCTCAGAGGCTTCAAACTGTTTCCCTGTCAATCTGCGTCCAAGGTTTGCCCAAGCATAATACAGCCAGCACCATCTCATGGTTCACTTAACCTTTGCTAAAGGATGGATTCAGGACTTTTAGGATTCCTGAGACTAAGAATACTGGCAGAAGGGGCCTGTTGTGGCAGCAGGTTCTTGCTTTAAGGGAAAGATGCTCAGGTAGCTCTGTCAGCATGGCCTCCACGCATCACAACAACACTGGACCTGCTGATAGTGCTAACGCAGGCAATCGAGAGGTGTGTTCGAAGGAACACAGGGGAAAGGAAATATTGCATCCGTCACATGTTGTTAGCAATACTTACTAGAATCAAGATCTGACAACCACCACACACAAAAAGGATGCTGGTGGGAGGGGACAAAGATCTACGCCCCGGTGAGCTCAGAGACTAACGCTGAACACCCCAGATCGGACTTTAGGCCAGTTTCTGTAGCACCTGGAACAGTTACAGCCGCCAGTCCTCCAACTGCAGCATACTCCTTTCGCTACAGGAAGGAACACGTACTTTCTCCATCCCTTTACTGACAGCAGACAACATTTACTAATTCATCCACATTGCAGGCTTTCTTTTAAGCTGACAAAAACACTTATACTACTCCCCTACTTCAAAACCTACAATGGGGTGGAAGGGACACAAACTAGAAGAAGCCCTGTCACAACTCTGACAGGCGGCGCCTGAACCTGTAAGTTATTCTTCAGCCTGCCAGATTTTTAAAAAAGCCATTTGCAGACAAATTTTATTAGGAGAAGAACATGAACGTTTACAATAACTGTTCTCTAAACTTGCATTAGAGCACAAGCATGAAATATCCTGCACGCACAACTGTTAAAGCGAGGCTGATTGCCTCAACAATGTTTAGTGCAGGCCCTTTTTTTCTTTCTTCTTCCCCCCAAGAATCCATTCTGTGCTTACTTTATCCTGATCAGAAAACAAATAAAAATGCTGCCAACAATTTTAGGAAATCACCAACAAAAGATGCAGCACATTGCATGTCAGGAGTTATATGTCAAGAAAGACTGTTCCTCTGCAGAACACTGCAGTTAATTACCTTCCTCTAGGAGATGACAACGCTTAATGGTCCATCTGTGGAGAAGTAGTCTATCGATCCAGTATAATTATTCTCCAAAGGCAATACGACCACACTGTCTTAAACCAATTTATACATTAATTTGTGTAAAAATATTCATGAACTTAAACGTTCTGCTATTTCTATTTGAGTAGATTTCACACCAAAAAAGTGACACATCACAGCTCAGCCTAACACAGAAATGCCACAACGATCAGAAGGGTCTGCTAAATATTTATTAGTCAAAAAAGGGAACATAGGAAATCACAGGCATCAAACAAGGGCCAATTTGTACTTTACTATTTCAAGACTATCGCACGATGGCCTTGACACTGCTGAACATTTCGTATTTGGATTAGTATATTCTGAATAGATGGCGCTCCATTTAAACTTCATGCGGAATAAGTAGATTCCTTCTCACAGATCCTAAGCTCTTAGCTCTGTACTAGAGATACTGAAAGACAAGCTTAAATATTAAAAAAGGAACCTCTGGAAAAATGCTACTGAGACTTGAGGAATTTTCTGTAGAATCCTTAACTCTGTTGGGAAATCTGACCAAGTCACGGATGCTCTCTGCTCCTTCCACCCATAGAGAGTTTTCCTCAGCTAACATAGTAGCACATCTCTTGTTTATAAACTGGTACATCCAGACAGTGAAGATTTCATATCTTAATTTCTGAATGCTACTCTAACAATTTATGTGAGACCTGGAAATAACCAAGAATATATTCTTCTGATAAAACAGAAAGCAATATTTCATTTTTGAATTTTCAGACATACCTCATTATGCATGTAGGATTAACTAATAAATACACTGGTTATCACTCTCTCTTTTCATATCAGGGTAGTGAACTGTATTTTCAGTTTAAAACCAGGCACAGTCTTCCTGATTCAGGGCCAGATCTTCTTCCTTTACTCACACTGAATTGTATCTTAATACAGAATTGATGTTGCTGTATTTCCATCTATTACTGCTATACAAATAAATAAATAAACAATAAAAGTAGCTGACAAAATTTGATCCTTCTTCCAGCCCTAAAATGCAAATAACTTAATAACCAGTAGCAATTTGGTAAATAATATATATTTACTAGGAAACCAAAAATTTAAAAAAGACTGAGAATACATCTTCCACTACCATAAAAAGTGTCAGAAAACATAACAATTGTACATGGATAAAGAATACCTTTTCTTTATCAGTTTTAAGAACAGAATTCACTGGGCAGAGCCCATACAGCAGCAGACTTTCTTAATGTTCCACATATCATACGAAATTCAGAGAGTCCTCTGATTACATTTCTAGAACAGGCTACTTTATGCATGCAATCAGATTAAGTCTGAAGAAGTTCAACGGAGAACTATTGTCGAACTGGAAGTCGAGTCTTTCAGGTCATGACAAATTTGCTGTTGCTCTCCTATTGCTTCACCTGCTCATCTGTAAACTGGATAGAACACTTACCTGAACTGGAGAGGATGTGAAACTCTGATTATCCTGAAAGCACTGAGGAGTCAGAAGTACTGAAATTAAAGTTTTATACCAAGAAACTTTAAAAAAAAAAAAAAAAAGCGAATGTGGAGCTGGCTGTTGCAGTTGCTTCCTAAACTACCAGAGTTATGCTAGAACAACAAAATTTGGCACCGTATCAGGCAGTAGACTGGGGCATATTGCAACAGCTGTTTCACTCAGTATAGAACTACGTAACATATGGTAACGGATCCATAGACAAGTTAGGCTGTTGGATAAACAAAACAAGTTTATAAAATCTTTTTTTGTTTCTTAACCTGAAAGAGAGCCTAAGCTACATGGCTGTGGATTTGAATGTGAGTGTTATCAGGAGATACATTCACTTAAAGTTACTAAAAAGTTTGTCTGTTAAGTGCAGCTTCATAACATCTCATTAAAATAAAGAAAGAAGTAGAGGGCAGCTTTTGCCCACACTGGGTTTATTACTATTCCCCTCACCCTATGTGCTATTACTATTACATGCACCTTATGTGCTCTCTTCTCAAGAAGTCCAGACATATCCACTTCTTCCTAAGAACATTCATACGCAACAGGATCAAACAACAACACTACAACGCTTATTTACAGCGAAAGGAACCCATTCAGGGCAGTACGGAAATACACGGTGAGGCTCAAGTCACTCACTTGGCATTGCTCTCTGCAGCTTCCTCCTTCACTTCCGCATCAGCCTCACTTTTTGTAGACTTGTTCTTTTCATCCATCCAGTCAGAGACATGCTTAAGGGCACATTCTACTGTTGATACCATGTTCTGGACAGCTTCAAGTTCCTCTGGAGATGGATAAATGGTTGAATGTTTCACCATAACATGGCGGTCATCATTAGCAAAAGATCGGATAGATCTCTGTTATGAAGTGGGAAACAGTGGGAAAGGGGGGGAAAAAAGAACAAAGTTATTGGATCATCAATAGAAAAACATTGTTTGAATGGAAATCCTCCTTGACAGATACAGGAAAGTGCTTTAGAATGACCACTGCCTACAATCAAGCCTATAATCATTCTTACCTTTGTATTAAAAAAAACAAAAAACAAAAAACTGCAGCACAAAACCAGCATTAAGCTGGTAAAATGTATAAGGCTTTGGGTAGGATTTATAGCACCTGATGTTAGATGCCATCTGACTCTTCCAGAATTCCTTCATAGGCTGCTAAGAGGAATAGGCACACCTGGAGCACAGTTCATGTTGATGTCTACTTTAGGATGAGATGAAATGTGTTTAAGAGGTGCATTTTCCCCCACACCTACACGTGACTGCAGAAGTCTAGACAACTAGAGCAGATAGCTGTTACAGGCACTTAAAAATTAAGCAAGCTGAATCCCATTCTTCGTCTCGTGTGTCCTTCGTAAGTAGGGGCTGTGACACCGCACACACTAGTCACAAATGAGAAAAAGGAAAACCGTGGGTCTATGGCTAGACAAATCTCTTTACTCCTGCATACAGCTATAGCAAATACAAAATAGGGTCAAGTCCAGTAAATGACCAGTTTGCAAAGGCTAGAAAAGTATTTTCTACAGCTTGTTCTTTCATTACTCCCCCATTGTCATTATTTTTCCTTCCTTTCCCTACCTTGTTATTTTCCTTTCCTCTTCCTCATTCTCTTTTGTCATTACTTTTACCTCCCATTTTTTATTGCTTCCCCCTCACTTCTTTTTCCCCTTTGCTTCCCCCCCCACTTACTACTCTCTCCCCAGTTTTCATTTTCTTGTTACTTCCCCCCCTCTCATTTTCATTTTTGCCATTACTTTTTTTCCTTCCACCTTCATTGTTCTCTTTTTTATTTCTTCCTTTTGTCATTCTCATTTCTTTGACTTCCCCTCCCCAGCTTCTCTTTAAGAGGGGAGCAGCAGCTCTGGCTAAGTGAAAGGGTAGAGTGCAGAAGCAGGGGATCAAAACACTGAGTTGCATTCCCAGCTTTGCCATGGGCAGTCTAGGACCTTGGGTAACTCATTTCACTGTTATGTGCCTTTGGGACTTCCCTCGTCCTTTGACTAGCTTGTTTATTTAGACTAAGTTTTCAAAGTCAGCGAGAAAACATCTAGGCCCTGATCTTGCCTGAAGCACCTACCTACCATGGAGATACAAGTAGTGAGTCCTGAAAGAAACAGGGGCTTCCCTACCCTGGAATACCTGCAGAAATTAAGGAGATCAGGAATTGCAGTAATTTTTGTTGACTTGTCTAAACCTTCTGCAGTTGGTTAGCTCAGAGGATCAGTTGTAAAGAGAAAATCCAGGGCCCTTATTCCAGAAGGTAACTTCATTTCAAGGTAGAGAAACTTAGAACAAAAGTATCCTAGGGGTGAAAACAGACTGGGTAAAGCAGGTGGAAAGGAGGGCAGACAAGGAGAATGGGGAGGAGATTCCTATTTTGAAAAAGGCAATGACACTCTCCAAATACAACTTTGCCTGTTCTGGAAATGTTGAGATCAGCTGTCTCTCCTCAACTTATGCTAGAGACAATGGCAACCCATCTTAGAACAAGGCAATTAAATAGCCATTCCCTTATGGTTTGGCTGCTGCTGCAGATGAAATTACAGGCAATACATATTACCAAGAGAGTTCTAGCGAACTGCACAGGGATTGACAAAAGCATGAATGAAGATGAAGACAAACTGGTAAAGAAAGACTTAATAATAATTTTGAAATAATTATTAATTATTAATTATTTGAAATAATTTTGTAGAAAATGGAAGGGATTAGAGTGCCAGTTAAAGACAGTTTGCAGTGAGACTCAAAGACCTGAGCGATATTGTTGAGGGAGGTAAACCTAACTGCTTGGGTGACTTGTGCTAGGAAGCCTGTGATTTGCTATGCTGTCCAGACGAGACCTAGCCCATCCAGAGAGTGACTTGGACCAGCTGTTCTCCCAGCACAGAACTCTGTCAGGAAGAGCTCTAAATAGTGTTTGCTCTAGACACACGTGGATAACTGCTGACAGCCTACCAGAATTTGGAATCATCAAACCAAAATTCTGTTCCCCCTGCACATTAAATAGCATAAGTAACTTTCATTTTTTTCCCTGCTTCACAGGCTTGTGACAGCACACACAATTAGGGACAAGAATGACCTCTGGGTTGACCCCTCGCTAAGGAACTGGTCACGTTTTCTTAGGTCATACATTCATCAGGTCCCTTCCATCAAAAGGAGATGTTACATAATCCTTTCCCTAACTTTTGTGCTCCTAGCCATGTGGACAATTCAGATAGCACAAGAAACTCAGCTGGGGTCTAGTGTACCCCCCCAGTGCTTTCATAAGACTGCAAAATGCTTCCAGGAGGTCCCTCTCATGTCTTAGCCACAACTTGGACACATACAGAAGAATAATCAAAGAAAGCTGCAGTTCAGCAATGAAAACTGATGAGCTGGATTCATTAATTCACTCCCATCCATCTCCATCTTGTGAAATTAGGAAAAAATAGTCAAACAGTAACAAATTAGTAACTCAAATTAGAAGACACTTGTTTTCTTTTCTAATAAACAGGGACTGGCAAGATCAATTCCTCATGAGAATTTAGGCTAGGAAAAATAAAAAAAAAAATTCACTGCAGCCAAGACACTTTATACTTCAGATACGATATATTGAGAACTTTGCTGCGTCAAGTGTTTTTTATTCTTCCTTTGTACTCTGTATCCACAGCAGGTAAAATCTTAGAAATCTTGGCTTGAGTCTTTTTTTTTTTTTTTAAATTAAATCCTGGCTATCTATCATTAGCAATCAGTTATGCAAATGTTAGAGAACCGTATCTAAAATTTATTACATTTATTCTCATTTTCTTTCACTCTACAATAACACTTAGAGGACTTAAAATGTATATAAATAAGCTTAAACTGCTCTTCACAGCTATTTTTCAGGAATTGGGTGGGTTTATTCCCCTTTTGTGAACACATCTTCAGGAATCTTACCATCCTAATTCTTCACAAAAATTCAACATCTCAGACATTCCTAATTTGCGACTGATACTAGGGAGATTAGAAATGATTCCCCACTTAGTCATCTAATATACTTGGTGTATATTGTTTACACACATATATCTACACTTTAACAACATGTACACAGAACCATATTCAATCAGCTTTTCCCACACACATATGCAAATATGAATAATCAACATTTGCTTTTGTGAGAAAGGTGTGGAAGGGGAATATGAGCATTTGGTTATGCTATCTGCAGTTCAAGGTCACCCATGCCATTTGCTACAGCTTGCTAATGCTAGTTTTATTAAAAAATCTGACAAGCATCCCCTTCATTTGTATTTAATAATTCATATAATGCAGACTCACAAGACTCAACTCTCTGGTTTAAAAAGGCTGACAATATATCAAACCTCATTTGCTTTGCTCAAAGCATGCAGTACTATCTCTAATTCTGTGCAAGGTCAGAAAAATCCCTTTACCGTTGTTTCACCATGCCCCATGCAAGGCTGGGAGCGGAGAATATTTTTTAATGCAACCCCATGAAAGCAGACAGATACCTACCATGGTTTGTTAGTGTTTCAGTTCTTTCCCCCTCCCTTTCTCCTTTTCCCTCCTCCTCGGTGTCTTTGCTAGGCACTGTTTTGCCTGACAGAACCTCTTCATAAGCCTCTCAATCCCTTGACAGCTCAAGAGTTCATACAGCCAAGATGCTCTGGGAGTCACTTTCTTTAATTCACCTGCAAAAAAGAGAGAAACTTGAAAACAGAAGAAACAACTTGTTAATTCCAATAACTGTTCAATGCAGCACATTAAGCCAAAATACTGATTAAAGCCGGTAGGCTTCGGGGGGGGGGGGCACTCACTGCACCATTTATTCCTGAACAAAAAGTAGACGTGACAGAAAGCCACTTTTTTGTAACGTGCCCACATGCACATAACCAATTTCTCATGCCACTTATCTCAGTATGGTTTGTCAGCCAACTGACAACCTAAACTTCTGACACCGAGATGACTAGAAATCCAAAGCATTAAATATGCTCCCTATGAAACTAGCTGAGGAAGAAGTCTCTATTTTTCACTTACGGTGCTCATTAGGAATCAAATACACTACAGTTAATTATCAAAAAATAATTATAAGCTGGAATTCCCAGTGCAAACCTGGATCCTGAGTGTGTCAGGTATTGTACAACAAGAACCAAGACTTCAGGTGGCAACAACTGTAAGCTGACATTTTAAAAAGGCAAGTGGATTATAATAAATTCAACAATAACAACAAAAACCAGAACGCAAAAGAATTGTGAGAACATTTGGCTAAAACCATTCACGCTACCTTTTCTGCCCTTGTACTGCTTTTCACAGAACACGACAGTTAAAAGATCCTGTAAGAGCAGCCCCTCTTGTACTAAACTAGGAAACAAACACCAGCACTGACAGCAGAAAGAACTGCAAATAAATGCTTTGTGAGACAACAGAAGAGCAGAATGACAGAGCAGGTAACGTGAGAGTGAGAGGAAACTATAAGCTCACTGCATAGCACAACACCCAGGTCCTTGCAGAAAACTCCTGTTTTTCTTTCATTGCACATATTGTTGCATCAGCTTTTCAGTGATATTTTGCAGCAGTTGGAAACCCAGTTGGCAGATTTCTGCAAACTGACAGATACACTCAAATGTTTTGCTTTTCTCCTAAATGTCAGTCCTGCTTCTCCAACAATACATTGCTTATTGTCTATCAAAGAGACTTGACATTGTTAGAGATTAAAAGCACGTTTGGCAACAGCACAGAGATAGGAGAGATGACTTGAAAGCTGAGTAGATGGCTTTAACCTCAGGGGTGTGAAGGAATAATTAAAATGCTGCATCCCATAGAGATTTGAACATGCCAAGAGAAAGGCAACAGCAAATTCTTCTTTACTGCTTTCCCCACTTAAGAAGAAATAAAGTAGGTTTACAGGACCAATAGCTTTGGCAGCTAGTGCCCAATAGTTATTTCTTTGTATCTCATACAACAGAACTGATATAGGGGAGGGTAAAATGAAGAGAAGTGAGGCAAGAACAATCTGCAGGGGCCTGTCTACTCTGGCAACTAAAGGCTGCCAGGGAAGAAACCCCAAAGGACTTAAATGTGGTCATACTAAAAATGCTTTCGAAAAGCAAGCTAATAAAAAACCTTGAAGGACCTTGTTTCTTACCACAAAGGCTATATACCCTACCCAGGTATACTCACACTCTACCAAATAGCTTCCTGGAAACGATCAGGGAACGAGATACTCTCTGAAGCCAAGCAGGGAGAGCTGGGAGGAAAATCAAGCAAAAATTAATGCTTTGGCACTATTATCCTATGATCTTGTCATAAGCTCCTCCAAACTTAATAGTTTTCACCATCCCTGAAAGCGACCAGACTCTTTATGTTTTGTTTTTCTAGAATAATAATATGCTTTTGAGTCAGCAGATGGCATGCTAGAGAGACTACACATGCTTTCAGATCATCTATCTATTTCAAAGTAGCTCTCTCTTCAAACTAAATCCCAGATCTCTCCACGTACTTGTTCTTCCCTGTGACTCCTACATTTCACATTTGCAGTTTGCTATCCTCTCTTGCAATTGTGACTTGGCAATTCCATCCCGGGCGCAGAGCAGGGTACTGGAGTGCGTTGCTGACTTCAGCCAATAGCCCATGCAACGTCTCCAGACTCCAAGCAACACTCCAGCCTGGACTCCCTCTGAAGACTATTGCAAGCTATTGCTTATCAGCTCGTAAAGTGTATCGAAGGCAGATGGACAAAGATGGCTGGCTGAGCAAATTCTGGTGCTTCAGTAAATTGCTGAGCAGACTGTTGTCTAGAAGGCAAGTCTGCAATCTACCGCAAAAGGTCTGAAAACAGGCATACCTCAGGGTACAATGCTGGATCAACGGAACGCTTTTCAGTGCTCTTTGAAACTCTGAAACAGACTGAAAACATATGTTTTACAGCTACAACTGAGCTTAATCTTTCACTGCATGAAAGAAGCCAAAACACCAACATCTTTCAAAACTCTGCCTTAAATAGGTAGTAACTATGTTGGTTTTAAGAGAGGCTTCAAGCTTCAAGGACAAGCAAAAGGAGTTGAACAAAGGTAGTCATTGGACCAATTCTATCTTCAGACTAAGAAGCACAACAGTAAAACGCGTGGTTGTCCTATGCGGGGCCTGCCACCCGCACTTGTAACAAGATTTCTAGGAAAAGCTGCTAGCACTAACAAGACCACTGGTAATCTTGAGAAAGCCACTTTGCCTCTGTATCACGTGGCCCTAAACTGTGAAGGCTTGCTGTCGCCAAACCAGGTCACAGAGGAGCTGAGAAGATTCTGGAAAGTGATTTTAAGTCACTGGGAATTTGACACATTAGCTATGTTATTAAAACACAGTGACAGTCTAACAATGTTTCCATTAAACATCCCATCCTTCACAGAGGAAGTTTATGCTTTGGCACAAGACAAACAAGGAAAAGAATTTCAGACGAGGCCTTGTAGTAGGGTTTATTCCTGCATCTGCCAGTTGTATTCCCAAGAGACCGACATTTAAATAGCCAGAAGTAATGTATATGCTTAGCTACCTTTGCATGCTTGTGAAGAGAAAAGCGAAAAGCAGGAGAAACAAGTACTTGCGCTCCGTACGGGTTGAAATTTCACATCCAAATAAGGGAGCTATACACCTCTAGAAAGGAGACACAAACTACCTGATTAGCCTGAGCCCTCATGTCCTCCAGCAGCACGAAGCAGCACCTGGCGCAGAGACACTGCTGGTACGACAGGGAAGAGAAGCAGGCTCACTCTACACTGGACTGTAGTCCTCTAAATCCTCATTTTAATGAGCTGCTGTTTAGGCACCTGGCCAGGCCAACTAAAAGACCATGAAAATCGTTTTGGATGCTACATCAGGAAGGCACATACCAGCCGTATTTAGCTGAAACATTAAAAACAGCCTCCACCCGTCTAATCTACCCTTACACCAGCATCTGCCCATGAGAACTACAGTTTATAGCATACACCCCCCTAACAGTACCCAAAGTTGATGTTAACAGAGCAGGAAGAGCAGGAGGGACAACGGAGGTTGCTAATACCATAAAAGAACGACTGTCTAACAGACTGGGGTGTATCAGACATAGTAACAGAGAAGAACTGCAATTTATACAGAATGGGTGAGAAAAGGTGGGATTTACATCCTTTTTTGTTGGAGTCAGAATAAGAGGCTTGCAACTTGAAATTGCAAGTTTATTTTAACTTCTGCTTTGCATCCAGGAGACAGGTAATTTTTTGTCACATCATATAAAGTGCTGCTGAAAATATGTTGTGTTTTTCTGCAATATAATTTTATTGCTGGCCTTCTGCCAAGCATGTTTCTGGCAGCATCTACCACAGTTGGAAACTGTGTATCTGGGTCAGAAAAGACAAGTCGCTTTTCAGAACAGCTCAATACATTTGGCAGAGCCGCCGATATTATAATTGAACTCTTTCAGCAACTCTTTTTATGATGTACCCAGACACCAAACAAAACAAGATCTGCAATGTTGATTAGTGTCAAAATAACTGACAGAGAAATAGCAAAATACTTTTAACACAAAGGAAAACTATCAACGAATGGAGAGGAACAGTTAAAGAGATACAATTCACAAGGATTCAGTGAGGAGTGTGGAGTAGAAAAATCTACAAACCAGGACTCACCTTCTACTTGCGCAGATGTTTACTATTTTAAATCCTAACTCCCTACTGTATGCTGTACTGAACTCTGGTTTCCTCGTCCTTCACCACCATACAGAGAAAAATCCTTGCCACTCAGAACCATATAAGCATTCTGTAAAGGAATGCAAATTGCAACACTGGGATACATATTTAATAAAACTCAGACTGCTTCCAACAGTATGCTCAGCAGTCCATTTCACCTGGAGCTGGTACATTCATTTGAGTGTTACTGTTTTTCAAGTAATGCAATTCCTGGCAAAGTTGCATCGGGGTTAGCCTTTAGAAGGCGGTAATTTTCCAGCCAAATGAATAATTACAGAGCAACACTAGAGTTAAGGTACTTCCTCTGTCAAATTCTTACAGTTTATAAAATAAATACTTGAGTCTAGTATTACCCCTGCTTTTTCAGTTCTCATGACATTTTGAGAAAAGTAGCTAAATCTCATTTTCCTCAGCCCACATAAAACAAGCCCTTACACCAACCTAGGGAAAAGGCTCAACAAAGACTTTTTAAAGCTGCATGTTGAACATACACAGTGCATAAATAAATTAGCTTTTCTTATGAAAGACTGCACGCTCCAACAGCTAAACATCACACTGCTAAACATCAGAGTCTCATGCAGCCCTGATTATACCTAGGAAGTATGTGTCTCAATGTTCTTTAAAAGTGTCAGAAACTATATTTTAAAGACTCCAATGAGGAAATTCCCCATAGCGAAGATTATCTTTTCCTCAAAATTTGCAGATAGGCTTCCCAGTTCAGCTCACCTACAAGATATCCCACAGAAAACAACATTTTTGCTTACACTTCCTGGACATCAGTCAAATGTCTCACTGTGAAAGCATCCTCTTTTCCATTAGCGTGATGCAGAAGTGTTATAAATCTGAAAAGAACTGGAATAACAATTTTTCTACAAACAACATCCAGAGCTTAACAAAATTGATATAGCTTTCACAGGTTTCTAGTATCCTGCAGAAGAATGAAATACAGTCTCAACTTACAGGTGGGCTGTGCAGCTAAGTAAACAATATAG